TAAAAATGCACCCTATTTGAGTACTTCGCCACGCCCTGATGTCCCTCCTATCTCTCGCCTAGCGCTGTTTCGTTCTTCTCCCTTTCCCATTGACAGCAAATTCAGTTTCACATTGAAGGTTACCAGCAGCAGATGCTAACTAAAACTGCTGCCTTTGAAATCACATCTCGACATCTGCTTTGTTCTACAGGGCAAGGCAAAATATAAACATATAACGCAGGCTGTTATTTCATCTCCATCCGTCCGATTCAGGTGTAAATACCCCCAACTTCAAGTATACCGATGCCACCTTCAGTTCATATTTTACTATTTAGTTTCAACTTTCCTGTGCGAAGGTAGATAATGATAATCATGTGTTCGGAGTCCAAATGCTTACGGATCTGCCTATCTGCTGTATGTAGTATAATGGGAAGTTTCGGGCCCTCAAGTAAAAACTCCCCTTTTATGACCCAATTCCCTTCTCCTTCAAAATATCTACCGACTTTATTGATAACTTTACCACTTGAACTAGAAATTTTACGGTTTCAATATTCACAGCTGTCAAACCCTCCATACTGCTTCATTCGCGCGCGCGCTAGTTTTGCTACTCTTCTTTGATGGTAGGTTATCCTTGATCCCTCTTTTGTTTCAGCTCATCTTGAAGAAACGCACGTCCAACAAACTTTTCGGAAAGTTCTCGCTCATTGATCTCGCTGGCAATGAACGCGGCGCTGACACCAGCAGTTCTGATAGGATCACTCGAATGGAGGGTGCCGAGATCAACAAGAGTTTGCTCGCACTCAAGGTAAGCTGTCATTAAATTGTTCATTACGTCGTCTTTATGTCACCAGACCGCTCACTATACGCCAATTTAGGGTTTGTTCTAGTTACCTATATCACCTGACGACAATAAAATAGCCCCCCTAGACGGCGCGTGAGAACAGGAGCGCAAACCCCTAGTAAAAATAGGGTCAAGTTGAGATTCATGTTTAAGGTGAGGTGTTACAATTAGCTTTAAGGTAAGTGACAGTCCAATTTAAGGCTAAGCTTGTGGTTAGTGTCAACTGTAGGATGCGGGTTTAGGCTAAGGTTTGAGTTGAGATTAGGGTGTTGGGCCGGTGTATGGATTAAGACATAGGGATATCTTCCCTTACTGAAATTATACGCAGTGCAACCTTTATTTCTTATTCCCGTGTACTGTTTAGGCTGCTATATAAGTATTTGGCCAATATCAAGTTATTTGGCAAACACCATACAAACTAATGATGGTAGACTCTTTCTGCCACAGATTGCATCCCACTGTTGTCACACTAGCTGCAGATTCTCTATACAGCAGTGTAAAAAGTTCTGCAGTAGCTGGAGCTTGTCAAAAAGTCTGCTCTTTCAGCCACGTACAGACATTTCATCTTGTCCGGTTTAGACGAAGTGTAGACTCGGGCATGTGCGATCCCGCACACCGTGTCCCCTAAGTCTGTGCACGATC